TACACATTATTACAGAACTTCCTACATTCAAGTTTTATGCCACTGCTCCTTGTCCTATCACTGCACACTGCCAAAAAGAGCCTGGCCTCACCCATTTGCCTCACTCCTCCCTTTAGATGTTTATAAGCATTTACCAGATCCCCTTTCAGTCGTCTTTTCCCTGAACAGACCCAGGATACAGACCAGGTTACTCACTAGGGTTGTCCCCAGTTCTACTACAATAAAGTGCTTGGGTCCTAGGTCATAATATCTGGAGCTGAAATAGCAACATTGTTCTTGCATTCCTTGTTACCTTTTCCAGTAATTGACCTTTACTGGAAAAAGTTATTAAATTAATATTGAGCCATTACAGTGTGGCTAGCCTGAGTGCTGCTTTTCTGGTTCTGAAGCTGAAGGACATCAGGGTGCTTTAAACCTCACTGGTGTGCAGAACAGGCTGCTGACCTCTGCTAAACGTGTTTTCCAGCACATGGTGTTTAATACTGCATGCCATAATCCAGGCTTAATGTGGAAGAGGAAAATCCACTAGATGAATTGTATAAATGCTGGATGTGCTACAAGCAATAAAAGGCATTTTGCGGGATTACATATTAACACTAAATCCTGTGGTGGTCTTGTAGTTTCTGCTGTTGTTGGCTCTCTCTGTGTTAAATGCATGGTGCAGGTAGCACTGTGTTGGCAGGAGGTGCACAAAATTTAATTTTAATATTGAATTTAAAAATTCAAATGCTTCCTTTGTATCTCAACTACACTTTTCAGAAGATGCTTGGTTTAACTTGTGTGGCATGTTCGTAGACTTGTGTTGAGCTGATGATGTTACAAAATAGAAATTACTTTAACTGGCACTGTCAGAAACGTCAGAAAGCTGCAGTTTCCATTGGCCACAGTTTCTGGCTTTCCCAATATCACCAAATCAGGTCAGTTGTTGTGATGCTGGTGGCTTTCCAAGAAATGGGTGTTCCTCCAACTTTCCCCCCCCCTTTGCCTTTCTGCAGAGGACAGATAGGATGGATTCACTGTTCCTGCCTTCACTGCCTGAAAATGCAGCATAGGTTTTCTCAGCATGAGAGAAGTATATGAAAATAGTGTCAGACAACAAAATGTCATAGACAGCTGGGCTGGAATAAATACTGGATTTCTAAACAGCTAAGTTAGGAGCGAGTCCTGCTTCTGTTAGTGTTCCCCGCCAAGAGGGTGATGGTATTAATATGTAAGTGTTGAATTAGTATGTGGCAAGACCTCTGGAAACGCAAACTCACTGCACTAGTTATTCATAATGACTGAATCAGGTCTTCAACAGCTGGTAAAAACACTGGGTTTGCATTTTCAGTCTGATGAGTTGGATATCTAGTAGGATTTTATTTTTCCTACATACATAGATTTCACTATGGCTGTGTCTTACCAAGTATGGACTCTGAAGAAAACTTAAACAAATCTGAAGTGTGATCACCACTGACAGTGCCAAGAGCAAGACAGTAAGATAGGAAACAGCAGAAGTGAGGATGCTGTCAACAATAATCTTATAATGCTTTGTGGAGTGATTTGGAGGTTGAAGCTCTTGTGCAGTAGCAGTAGATGCCTGCAGAGGTCTGAATCTTCTGCTAGTCTGGTCTGTGTGACATAGCACTTGGTGAGTCTATGCATTTCTTTCTAGGGTCTGCAAGTATGACGAGTTATAAAGTGGGGAAGGAGGAATGGATGAGTGTCCTTGCTTCTGTCAGGTGCTTTCTGTGGTGTTAAGGAGCCAGCATGAGAAGGTAGCTAAAATCAGGACGCTGAAATAGGGTTATGTCTGTAGGAGTCAAACACATGGTAAATGCAGTAGTGGCTGGAAACTTATGGGGGTGTCTGCGGACAGAGATGAGTTAAATCTCAAGTAGTAGGTTCATTTGTCTGGATGTAGGCAGGCTGACAAAGAGCTCCCCTGCAGCTCTGCAACTTTCAGTACGTAGCAGTCCTCGCTGAGCTTTGCTGGGATCAGGAAGCAGTTTTGAGAGCTCAGCTTGAAACTGTAGGAAGAAACCTCATGAGCTATTGCTTAGTTTCATAAATAAAGTTATTGCCTAATTCAGTCTCTTTTTTTTTTTTTTCCCCTCTTAATACACTTAGAATTGAGCTTGCAGTGGAAAAAAAAAATGACTTGTAATTATGGCTGTTCCTTTATCTTTGCAAGCAGTCTTGCAGTTTGTCTTGGAAATTCTTGGCTAGCTTAGCCCATCAGAAACTCAAATAGCATTTGGTGAATATAGAGTGGTGTTACGTAATTTTATGGGATTTTCTGTTACAGAAGAGGTGCAGAATAATTATTTGGGACTTGTTTGTAATGCTCTGGAAAAACAACTGTTTCACTTTTCATCTTTTGAATGATCTCAGCATGGGGACCTGAAAGTGGCACTTACTAGGAAAAAATCCCTGCTTGTAATGTGGAGTTTCCTACTCCACTGGCTTGTGGCTCTGAAATTGACTTTGTACAGAGGCTTCATTTGCTTTATGTTTCAGTACTGCTTCTTAATGTGCCAAACACACAGGTTAACTAGATGCATCTCACAGAGTGGCCCTACCATTTCTCTAAACAGGATTGATTACAGGCAAGCTGGTGTCTCAGCTGCCTTTGCAGAAAAATAGAAGTTTTCTGGAACATTTTTTGGAGCTTGAAGCATTCTTCCCATAGCAAAACATCAGCTTTCATTAATTCTGTGATGATTGCTATGCAGGCAGTCCAATAGCCCTCTTCTATTGCAGAGCTGTGACTGCAGAACAGGATTTAGAAACTGGAAGCCATCTTCTACCGTGCACAGAGACCATAAATGCTGCTTTGGATTGGCTTTTTCAGTAGTCTTCTTGAGGTGAAACTCCTAGGTTTAGATAATGTGAGAGCGGAGGGTCTGTACTGGCTGGAATGAGGTCCTCTTCCTTAGCACCCAGCCACGTATGTGGGTTGTGAACATGACATGCTACCAGAGGTCTTTTTTCAGTCAGGTAGGAACTGTACCTGTATGTAAGACCATACAGCTCCTGCCAAGAGTTCTTCTAGCTAGCTCCATCCTGAGCTTTGTAGTCTCTTATGTTTTTAATTTCAGTCCTTGGGCTGTTTCATGTCTTAGATCTCACGAAACTGCATGTAAGCACAGGAGTGGGCATGGGAAAGCCCCAGTGGTCTGGAGAAGTCTGCACCTATGATATGCAAGCACTTGAGGTGAACTAAACCTGCCCTGCCCTTTGTAAATCTTTGCTCTGCTCCAGTCCTGGGCAGCACATTCCACTTGCTTGCTTCTACAGTGATAACAGGCACTTGCCTGCTCTTCTTGGAGCAGTGCCATCCACGTAAACTGACCTTAAACTGTGGGCTAGGATTGTTTAAGAAGATGTGAATCATTTGGCTGTGAATACCTCAGGGCAAATTCTTGTGGAGTAAGGGCTTGATATTGCTGGAACATACCCATGTGCATTCAGTAGCATGAGAAGAGTGCAGCATGTTAGCTGTGTGAGCCACTGAACTTTTATCAGCAAGTTCTGCTCTTGGCTACCTGGCACTTTGGCTTAGTAAGATTTGGCTTACAGCATACAGGCATATGCCAGTCTGTGAATAAAACTGTGTTCAGCTACTTAGGTAGAGTCATAGAATCTTTTGAGTTGGAAGGGACCCTTAAAGACCATCTGTTCCAGTTCCTCTGCAGTGAGTGGGAATACCCACAGCCCTGTCAGAGCCCCTCCAGCCTGACCACTCAAAATCAATTTTTTTAATGTTTCTGGAACTTTGTTTAAAAAAAAAAAAAATCAATGAAACTTCCCATAATCTGAATGAACAAGATCAGTGACTGTTTCTCAGGTAGGTGGCTAAGAACTGAGTCATTGAGTCATAGAATCATTGAGGTTGGAAAAGACCATTCAGATCATCTAGTCCAGCCATCAACCCATCCCCACCATGCCCATTGACCATCAGTGACACATCTTCATGTCATCAGCCCAGGCAGCCTGTGCTGGTTCCTCCACACTTTTTGTGACAATGAATTTTTCCCAATATCTGACCTGAAGTGGCAGGACATGAGCAGAGGTTCAGCTTGTTCCATGCGTGACTTGCTTCAGGTTTATTTCTTGCGTTCCCAATCACAGCTTTGGGGCAGAGGATGGGGAGTGCTTCTCTGCAGATCCCATCTGAGGCTGGTGGAGGGGCTCCAGGCAGGTTGAACTGTGCCAGGGAATGGTTTGGGGCTTTGCTGTGCAGAACTATTCCCTACTGGCTGGCTTTTTTGGCTGTTCTGAATGGCAGGACAGCATGGAAGATAATATCCAGTGCTGGGATCTCTGCAGCCTCTGCACAACAGACTCCGCTCTGAATCTTGTTCAACCAGCATCTGCTGACAGCATGGGTATTGGATGGCAATGTTTGCTGTCCTAGCCCATCAGTATTTGGTTCATTGGTTTGCACAGATTTATTAGACAGACACAAAAAGAGCATTCAGGCATGTTGTGGCAGGAAGTACAGTATTAGGAACCTAGGCAGATAGACTAGTCCCTTTTACATAAGAAAAGCAAAACGCCTTGGGTCTCAGCTAAGCAAGTGTTTAAATCCCTTTTCCACACAAAAAGATTAGTTTAAAAGTTTTGCACTGGCATGCGTGAAACAGATATTCTCACTATAGCACATGTTTTTAGCCTGCTTCTGAACCCAGCAAGAAGCAATGATATCTCGAGTTCTGTCTTTTCGCGTCTCTTTTACCCTGCTGAACAACAGCTGTTGGATAGTGCTGCTTGAATTAGGACATGGTAAATAATCTTTTAGTTTATTTTCAGGGCTGAACTTGAGCTCTTAGGGCCCAGGTGTTCAATTTTTTTCCTTGTTTTAGTTACTGTTCTGTTTTGACTGAAACTGTAGAGTTGTACTGCAAGCCCATGTGGGCACTGGTATATAAAATGAACTGTTTTGCGGCCCTGATGGAAATTGTAATAGTAGCTTGTTATCTCCTTTTGTCCTAACTAAGATGTTTTGCTTTTTCCAGGCTCACATTAAATTCCCTATTGACTATCCGTATTCACCACCTACCTTCAGATTCCTGACCAAAATGTGGCACCCCAACATTTATGAGGTAAAAGTTTGTTTGTTTGGTTTTCTAAATAAGTTTTTCGTAGGCACGTGGGAAGGTTTTCTAGTTTTTTAAACATATATTGTTGGTACTCAGTGTCTCTGGCCGTAACTGAAGCAGTTAGCAGTTTATGTTAAATGCCAAATTCATGGTTGAACAGTTAATTCTAAAACCTGTATGAAATGCTGTTCTTGTAGGCAAGGATGAAGCCTTTACTACACTGGCATGTACAGCTGGCAGCCTCAGATGAAGCACTGTACTGTGAATGCCAGCAGTTTCAAGGGGTTCTTGGATAAGGGTGTCATACACTGCTGTGGTACATAAGCAACTAGTGGTTGTTGGTGTGCTTTTCATTATCATTTTCAGCACATCCCACAAGACTGTGTAAAACAAAATAAAACAGGGAGAAGTCTTTTGCAGCAACCAGCCTACAGGTGAACGGGTTTGGTCTTGGGGCACTTTGACTGCAAGAGAACTGGAGCTGAGTTGGAGTCCAGTTTCAGAAGTCTCGTGCAGCCTGGTCGCCAATTTGAAGCAGCCCTTAGATTAGTTCCTGCGTTGGTCACACTCAAAGGGTAGTACTGCAGGTTGATGAATCCATAACTGGATCTTCGTACAACTAATGGGAAGTGGAGTATCTTTGTATAAGTTTTCTTTGGCAAGCAGCACTCCCTAGCTTGAAAACATTGTCTTGGAGCAACTGAAAGTTATTATTGCAATTGGTTCAAAACCAACCAGTTTCAGAAAGCCATATTTGAAAGTTGAAGACCTGTTGTAGATGAAAACAAACTTTTAGAGGCCAATCAAATGCCTGCTGAACTTTTGAAAATTCTAACCAAATGTCAGCCTGCTAGGACTGCTACCAGAATACTTTTCAAGATGCTAAAGGCTTTTCAAAAATGCTCTTGTCACCTTGTCCTCCTGAAAGAGATTTTGCAGGCTTCTTACGGGTCTAAACAGGAATGTCGTTTCTCTTCCTCACTGTGAGCAAACAATGGCTTCATTTGATGCCTTGGGCTTTGAAGGCCCTTTGCTAACAAGTCACTGCTGCTGGATGTCCACCCTGGATGAGTGCTCTCCAAATATCACACTGAACTTCACTGATCTTTTAGTCATAAATAGCCAAAAGCTTAACCAAACTTCAGTGCAAAACAGGATTGTAATTAGCTCTAATTACTGGATGCGCAGGAGGACTACTGCCTTGTTAGGCACAGAGTCTTCCTAAGATCAGTCATCTAATTGTCTACTGGCTTCAGTTTTGAACTTGACACCAAATCTAACGTGTAGCCAAGGATAGCATTTCTCTTTAAGAATCATTTTCAGTAGTAGTATGGGAGTTCTATTTATAAGTAAACTTAAAAAAAAAAAAAAAAAAAAAAAAGTTTTGACACCTGCAGATTATTGCAGAACTGTAGTGTAGATGTTTTTGAATCCAGACATTCTCATGCAGGAGGTGAGTGGGAAATGGTTACCAAAATGGTACATACAAAATGAGTCTTGGAAAGGACCTCTCCCCATGCCAGTAGGAAAGATGAAAAATTGTCTCTAGAAACAGCTGAAGGTAGGAGGAGAAACTAACCCAAAACCTGATGGGTGTTCTTTGGGGTTACTCTTCAAATACTCCAGCTCTCATCTTTGTTCTTTATGTTCATAGTGATATTTCTTGGAGCTGAGAGAATCTGAAACAGCTTGCAGGCTGTTTTGGAAACAACATATAAGCACTGAAATGAGGCACTGGGATAACTCCAAATGAAACTGAGAATAAATCAGCGAAGGGCTTGAGGTTTGAGGGTTTGTCAGGAGGGAAAAAAACATCTTTCAGTGTAGTGGAGATGAAAGAAAGTAACAGTTTGCAGAATCTGCTGGTGAGACCAGATGGAGAGGTTGAAGCTGACGTTCCAGTTCTGAGCAAACACTTCAGTAACTTACGCGTTTTCCTCATCCTACTTGCTCGGTCATCTAGTTGAATTTCATTAAAACTACATTTAGCTTTAGATTTTTGAGGTAACACAACCTTCTAATTCCATCATAATAGATGTATAGGCTCTTCCTTCCTCTGGTTGTTAGAAACAAGGAAAGCGATACATTTATCTTTCGAAAACATATATAGGATGACTGTACTCTCTACTTGACTATACTGATCCCTAAATCCTTGTGCTGACTTCATCAGGTCCCACCACACTTCTGCTCCTTCAGACTCAACCTTGTCCTGTTTGTAGTCTCAAACATGTATCACTAACTGTAGCAAAAAGGAAAAATCCTTGCTTCCCTCTTCATATTCATACTACAAATTTTTGTTGGCCCAGATATTGCTTAACCTGATGCTATGAAAGACATCCCACAAGTGCTGCAGCTCTTTCTCTTGGTCAGCAACACTTTTTCCAGGTCAACATCACTGAATTTTCCTGGGAAATGCTTAAAGGAGAACCTGTGTAAACAAAAGGGAATTTGGAAGAAAGCCAGAAGAGAACATAAACATTGCTTGAGTAAGGTTAATTTCACCTTAAAATGATAAAAAAATATTGATAGGTTGCACAAGTCTTTTGAGATCCAGAAAGAGAAACTGCCTTGTTACGGCAAACTATTCCAGCAAGATAAACGTGTGCTTGGGTATTCAGCAGCTCCAGGTGCTACTTTGCTTTTTGTAGTTATGTTCTTGATGAAAAGATGCTTCAAGATGATGACAGCTTGCTAAATTAGTACACCTGGCAGGTTCAGTGAGAGCTGAATTCTGGATACCGATCACAAGCCTGCAGTGTTGAAGTAGGATCTCATTTGACTATAGAACAAATATCATTCTTTCAGTTTACTATGAGGAACATTTGGGGAGGCTCTTCAGGTGAGCTGCTGCAATCTGCAGCCATGATCACTGGCTGGAGCTCAAAGGCACAGATGCTATCACTGTGAGCAGTGCTGCTTTGTGCTCCAGCTCCTGTGGGCAAAATAGTGTTGAAGAGTTCTCAGAATGCAGCCAAGACAAAGCACTTGGGGAACTGCCCTACCAGTTTTCAGTCTTGGACCAAGCTCATCTGCAGTTTCTCTTGTTGGAATGATCAACCCATTAAGTCAGGGTGACAAGGGGACAGCATGAACACTTCCTGTCAGCCTGGGTTAGGCCACCTGAGGATGCCTCTGAGAGCTTGTAAGTAATTCTTGTAGCTGGCTGCAAAAGGCAATAAGCCAGCAGAGCTTGGAGGCAATGTCTTGGCTGGACATGAACCCATCTGTAGCTTCCCTTCAGCCTGCACAAAGACATTTGGTGCCAGCTTTGCTGGGAAACGTCAGCTGTGATGCATATTGCTACAGTACTCCTATGAAGTAATCATGTCAGGGTGCTGTTGCAAACAGAGGATTGGTTTTACAGGCTTCTTAAAGTATTTATAAATTGTAGGCATTATGAAACTTTAAATCTGTATTCGGGCTATAGCACTGGTGAATTAAACACAGGTTGAGGATTATGTGGCTGTATGGCTTCCATATGCTGCCAAAATATTCTTCCTCTTGCATGCTGGAAGGGATTTTCAGTGGAACCTTCAGAGAGCATCTCCTGCTTTTTCACCTGATATTTCAAACAGCTCTGTCACCAGGGAGTAGTGTGAGCCTGCCTTGCACCATCTGTTCGAATTGCATACATCCCAGGAGAAGCATTGTTGTGATACCTGAACTAGGATCGAGTGTTGAATACTTGGATTTAAAGATTCCTGTTGCTAACTCAGTCATCACTGGGGGAAAAAAGACATGGGAATGTGGGGTCTCGTGACTAAAGTTCATTTCTATTACTATGGTAGTATGTGCTATCTAGAGACTAATATAGTTTTATTAGCTACTATTCTTTTTGTTTGCTTTGCTACATTCTTTTAAAATTCTTGGCTTGAGATTGTTTTGTACCAATCTGCAGTCAAAGCTCTGAGCAAGGAAAGTTTTGAACATGTTGATACAGTAGACCCAGGAAGAATTGAGAACCGTTTGCAGTTCCTGATGGTTTTTACTGTCATTTGAGATGTTCACATCAACAAAATTTCTGTTCAAATATAGCCAGAGATTGAATTCAGTCTTCAGACCATTAGTCAGGCTTATCTCAGATTTCATTTCTGTCTTTCAGAATGGAGATGTATGTATTTCAATTCTTCACCCACCTGTAGATGATCCACAAAGCGGAGAGCTGCCATCTGAGAGGTGGAACCCTACCCAAAACGTCAGGTAACAGTGGGAAGCAGTGATGCACAAAGCTGACCTCGAAGTCCTGTCGTCTGTCTCCTAAACTAAAGCCTCTGTTAGGAAGAAGCTTGGAATGTAAGGCTTAGGGGGGTTTTCAGGGCTTGAACCAGGTAGGATCCAGACTTAGCAAGCAGTCTGAAAATACTAGAGACTGTGTATCTTGCTGCCATGTTAGCAATATAGAGCCTTCTGTACTGTTCACAGGTTTTCATGTTCTTAAAGCAGACACTTCCAAATCCTTCTAAGGTATCTAAGATATCACTCATCGAAAAGGACATCTTGTATTCAGGCTTGGCAGAAATAACTTTGTGCATAATCCTACCGATAGTGTACCTTCTATTACAGGCCTGCATCTCTGTCCTGTAGTGTGGTGTCTTGAGAAGTTAGCTAAGTGTTTCTTTAGGTACCAAAAAGAAAGGATCATTAAGCACCAGAGGCATTCAAGGCTAACACACCCATTTTTTAAAACATAGCTGGGTTTCATTGTAACCTTAAGACACTGCCAATAAAGAACTGACAAAATAAATATCAGATAACAAACCACTGACCTGTGAAGCAGTAGTGATGTAGTGGAAAATCCTTGAACTCAGGTACTTCTGTTTCAACTATTCATTATCCAAATAAGGTTGAAATAATTGCCCCTAATTTTTCCCATATCATATGGGAATTACAGTTGTTTTCAGAATGATTTATTAGATGTTGGTTCTTTAAATCTCATTTTAATTGGTAGATCCAGCCAAAGCATCTCAGTCCCTGTGAGAGAATGCAACAATTTGAAAAGGGTTGTCTGAGAGTTTGGCTCTGCTTTTATCTGACATAGCTTCATTAAATGAACTTGAAAAGAGCCTTTGTCAAAGCAAAGATCTAGCAAGGGGGGGTTTATTGGATTCTCAATCTTTGGAATGGGTTTGTAACATGCACTGCAGAATGCTGAACTAGAACTAACGTGGCAGGAAACTAGGAAATGTTAACAGTCAGCAAATTACAACAACTGATGTTCCCTCCCGGAGCACACTACTTCAGGGTTAAAAAGGCTCAAGCAAAATGGTGCATTTTAGCTGTGTGAAGTTGTGAAGGTCAAGGCAAATGTTATCCAATCCATCTAAAGTAAAAGTCAGTATGAAGCAATCTCTCAAAAGTTTTGTATTTAATTTTCTTTGAAATAGCTTTTAAACTATGTGTTGCTGAGCTACATTCAGTTGTTCCTATGCTCACATGGCTGTTAAACTGTTCATGTGTTTGATGTGATTATCTCCTCCAGTTATGATGACTAGATGACAAGCCTCAATTCATAGCTAAGAAACAGAATAAGGCATTCATTATGTAGGTCATTTTGACTATTTCATCCTATACAACACAAAGCTTAACCTTTCTAGTTCTGATTGCTGCATTTTCTTACTGTGATGCAATTTTCAGTGCTTATTCTACCAGAACACATTGACTTAAGGAGAAAACATTCTTTTTGAGAAGAAAACATTCCTCAGGTGCATCAGCAAGTGGAAACAAAATTTGTCCTTAGCTGTTAGCCCACTGCCAGCATCACCCACTGGGCTAAGTGCTGCATGCAGACCTTCCTGCTGGGGTCCCATCTGGCTCTGCTGGCCTCTGGAGTCTGTCAGATCGGAGGCAGCAGGACTGGATGTGCATGAGGGGAGCACGTTTGTGTGTAATGAGCTGTGTGCGCAGGCCAGGGCCTCTCTTCATTTTCTAAGTCCTGCTGAGTACTGACAGCTTACTACCATGTTTGAAGTGTCTATAGCGGGGGGATATCATTCTTAACTTTGAGAGCACCTGTGCTCCCAGCTCTAAAGTTGTCAAGCATAATTGTGTTTTAAGCACAAAAATTACAGTCTTTCCTATCACTCATAGCTGGATGAGTCAGCTATAAGTAAATTCAGCAGAAGTCCAGCAAGATGTAAAGAAATGCAACTGTGATCTGTGTGGCAGATAGTGCTGTTCCTTCTCGTGTCTAATGGGCCATAAAGCTGAGGAAGTGGTGGCAGGACTTGGGAGCAGAAGATCCTTGATCATATTAGTTGCCCTTCTCAGTATCTCCCCTGAGTCCACTGTGCCTTTTGAGGTGTCCAGCCCATGATATTTGTCATCAGTATGTGCACTCAGCACAGTGTTCAAGGTGCCGGTACTTCCATGTCTTGTGAAGACAGGTTATGTCCTGCTTTGCTGTTCTTTGCTTTCTGTTGGCTTTTCAGCTGCCTTAGCTCACACTGAGCTGACAGAAGCTATCCAGACCTAACATTACTGTCAGTAAAGCCAAAGCCAAGACTTTTTACTGGAAATAAGAATATGCTGTTCTTAGCTCTGACAGAGTGACTGAATCCAGGTGCTAACTCCTCTCCCACCTGGGCCTTCTCCAGACTGTGCTTGCTCTGCAGTAAAACCACTGCTGGAGCTGTCCAGACTTCACAGACCTGCTAGGAATCAAAGGCTTTTAGATATATCCTTGAGATGAAGTGGAAGATTCGTCTGCTCATCATTCCAGCCTGGCAAAGCAGTTTTTTTCCAGAGCTGTCATTCTCTTCCTACTGAATTATATCTTTTGGAAAACAATCTGCAGAAGACTCCTGGTAGCTGTGCTTAGCAGTCTGGCCAGACGTGTTTAGTTTCAGAAGCTTTCAAGGAGCAGAGCATCCAAATGACTGAGCATTTCCTGGAATTGTATCCCAGTTACAATCTGCTAGATGTGCTCAGCATGCAGTGCCCTGAGTGCACCTCTAAATCACTATGAGTACAGTGGGAGCTGAGTCTCCTTCATCGAATTCTGCATAGCAGTTGCTGTGTTCTGCTACATTTCAAGACATATTACTTGTCTCTGTTCTTTCCTTCTGCTCAGGTGGCAGTGGGGCTGCTGCAGAGGGTCATAAGAAATGCAGGGGCTGGGTGAGAGGTGGTGCTTGCAGAATAGTGTGCCCAGTTAGCTCTGTGCTGTGGACAGAAATCCAGGAGAGTTCTGTGCTGGGGTTATGCAAGTGGTTCATGCTGGTGTTGCTGAGGTGTTGCAGCTGAATCCAGCTGGGTGCTTGGCGGTTTGCCTGGGTGTTTAAAAAAAAAAAAAAAACAACAAAAACCATCTGCATTGCCTTCCTGCTGCTGTGCTTGCTGCCACAGCAGCTCTGGAGCTGCATGCGTGGAGGAGAGGTGATGCCTGACTCCAGCGTCTGAGCAGGGCAGCGAGTCCTGGCTGCAGGGCTTTTGGTCACAGCAGGATAGGAAGAGAGACCGGCATTCTGCTGGTAAGCTGAATGTCACCAGGAGCAGCTCCAACCCTGCACCATCCACAGGCAGTGTGGATGAGATGAAATCTAGCCTGATCTGAGCTCTGCTGGCCACCCCCTCACAGACACGTGAACAGAAGAAATGAACTAGGTCCCAGAGCATGCTTAGCTTTGTGCTTCCTCTCCATACTTGTTCTCTTCTAGCTAGAATATGAGCTCTTGGGTCAGATGGTGAAGGAAAGGCCTTGGCAGTTCACCCTGGTGGAACCCTTGGGCATGGCAGCTCAAGTCCATAAGTACCTGCTTTCCCTTCAGCTGTTGTTCACTTATACTCAGGTTAAGTTTTGACTTCAAACAATACATTTTGATGCTTTTCTGAAGCATTACCTAAGGAAGTTGTCAGCATCCAGAATCCATGAGTGCTTTTGCTCTGACCCTGCTGTTATGGTTGCCTTTTTCAGGACTATATTACTGAGTGTAATCTCTTTGCTTAATGAGCCCAACACATTCTCTCCTGCCAATGTGGATGCATCAGTCATGTTCAGAAAATGGAGGGACAGTAAAGGAAAAGACAAGGAGTATGCAGAAATAATAAGGTAAGTTGTGCAGCATGCATTGCTGTGCTACTCGTCTCTTGTTCCAAATCCTCCAGAACAGACTGCTTGCAGAACTTGCTGATACCAGCTCCTCTCTGTGGCTACTGCTGTAGAAGTGAATTTTAGTCTTATTCCAATCCCAATTTTCTAGTTTCCGCAGGTCTTTTCGCACAGAATAGGTGCAGACTTCTGGAGCAGAAAGACCAGTCTAAACTGTCTTTGAATTATTCCTTTTTCACATTAATCTGGCTGTAAAACACTGTAAAACCTATAGGTGGCTAGTAAACCCCAATTGAAGTCCATGCTTGCCTTTGAACTCAGCCTGCCTTGGTTGGGATGTAATTGAAACTGACTGCATCCTACTAATTCTGTGCTTATTGCACTCATGAACCATAATCTTGTCCCTCCAATTTGAAGGAATATCAGCAGGATTTGGCAAATGCTTACAAAGCTTGGAGTTTGTTTAGCTTGAAGCATTGTTCAGTCTTGACTGTCCTTTGCTCAGAAGCTCGTGGTTCGTCAAGTGCTGCTGGAAGACAATGCAATTTGAATTGGAGTGGCTTGGAAATACAAGCTGCAGAGGGGCTGCTGCCACACTGCAAAAAAAGACATCAGGATGGCTGCTGGCCTGACCTAAGTGAGGAGGACAGCTGGAATCTAGGTTGCTGCCAGCTCTGTTGGCTTTAGCAAGACTAGGAGTAATCCAGAAGCGGACAGGAGGGGGCAGCCTGACCCCTGATCCCCTGGCCCTTTGGCCTGATAAAATACCCTGATATTGGGGTTACTCCATGTTCCTGCCACTCTCACTGTACCATGACGGCTGAGAGGTGCCAAATACTTTTGGAAATCCCAGTTTTGAGCATACTGAGATGGTTTTCAGTGGTGGAGGAGGCTGTGGACAGCATCTTGGAAACCCCCTCAGTAAGTCATCTTAGGAAATCCCACAACTGCTCTTGTGCATGAAGGCAGTCAATGTAGTGAGACTTGCTCTGAGCTCTGGCAAGCCTCTAGGACAGAGTTTGGTCTAATAACTGACTGTATGTTGCTGGAAGGGTGCGTGCCACAAATGAACTTGGAGTGCTCCCAGACACGGGGCTATAGGATCTCAATCTGCTGCTGCTGGCAGTGCCTCCAACTGGCTGAGGGCTGCAAATGGGGCTGTGGGAGATGGAGAACTGTGCACCTGCTCACCCTCCCGCTCTGTCCTCCCCCAGGAAACAGGTGTTGGCTACCAAAGCTGAGGCAGAGAAGGATGGCGTGAAGGTCCCCACTACGCTGGCAGAGTACTGCATCAAAACTAAAGTGCCTTCCAATGACAACAGTTCGGATTTGCTTTATGACGACTTGTATGACGACGACATTGATGATGAAGATGAGGAGGAGGAGGATGCCGACTGTTACGATGACGATGATTCTGGCAATGAGGAGTCGTGACCTGCTCCCTCTGTGCCCCTGTACTGCCCTGCCAACTCAGGCCAGAAGGGAGCAGCGGTAACCTAGCAGCAGTCCAGCAAAAAAGTGTGGGGGGGGGATCAAAAAACTTTTGTCTCCTGCTGTCTCCTGTTGTATGGATCTGTTTGCTCCTTTTTTATGGACCTCTTAGAGACCCTCCACAGAATGTCTGAATTCTTGCATTCTTAACCCTTTCATCACTGTATTACAATTTCTTTTTGAAAAAGAAAATCCCCTTTTCACTTCTCTACGAAACGCTCACAGCGAAAAAGGTTTGCTCGCATTTAGGTTCTTGAATTCAATACAGTCTTGCATTGAGGTGTTTAATGTATTTAAAGCTGGAACAAACACATTGGAAGCTGTGTTTTTGGGAGCTCAAGTGCTGCATTTACTGGGAAGAAAAAAATCCACACAAAGCAAATTGCCAAGGTTTAGCTGCTCCATTTACAATAATAGCGTGTGTACATTCGTTTAGCCTTGTGGTGGTGGCTTTTCCTTTATAAGGTGGGGGGCGGAGAGTGTAAAGCTACTGTGTGTTGAGCTTGATGGGATGTTACTGAAAGGTACAGTATTCCTTTTCAGCCTGCTCACGATAAGAAAGAGGTGGCTTGTGGTATGAACCCTAAAATAAACACTTAACACTTCACGTCTGTATAACTGAGCCCTGGATTGCTATTTACTCCTTGTTTCCAGATTAAGTTAGGGTTAAAAAGAAAATGCAGTTTAGCTATGCTGCTTCCAGAAACCTGCAGCTGGTGCTTATCCCCAAACTGTCTTTGGCAAGGGGAGAGGTTGATGGCCACCTGCCCCTGTGCTCGCTTGCAGCCCTGCTTCCTGCAGCCTGAATCCCGTGCTGGCCTTTTCCCGCTTGCTTGTGTAGAGCAATGCTGTGCTGTTGTGGGCTCTGGGGGCAGGCAGAAGGGAAGGCTCCTGCATGTCCCTACGAGCTGTCAGCCCAGCTTGCAGCCCTCTTGGGCAGGGGATCCTACACACTGTCTTCTGCAGCACCCTCCTGTTCGGTCCCTCCACATTGTGACCCCTTTGCCATGTGCTTTTGTTTGGCTGTGGTGTATTGGCTTGAATTGACTTTTAGAGTGGTGTTCAGCTTCCCTCCTGCCTTCACCAGGGCTGGTGAGACCCTCCCCTCCACCTCAGCAGGGCAGACTCCCTGCTGAGATCACCAGGCTCAAGCACATGGTTGTGCCCTTTTTCTGCTGTGAGGTTCTCGATGGTAAGGCACCATCTGCAGCATGGTGGTGGGAGCAAGCCTGGTCCTGGGTCTGCATGCATCCCTGGAGCAGGCTGAGGACAGCAGCTGCAGAGTGGAATGTCTGCAGCAACGTGCATAGGGGCAGCAAAGCTGTTTGCAGACTGCTGCAGCTGGGGAGGGCTGGAGGCTGGTGGCACCTCAACCCTGCAGTCGGCAGCGTGGCTCCATTGCCCCAGCTGTGTGTGCCTGCATCCCACCTGCAGCTTCCAGTGGGGCTCGGGGCCACGCTGCTGACCTGGTTGGAAATTAGGATACTGCATCTTTCAGGAGCTCCCGTGTACTTTTGACCGTCTTCACTGTATACTCTCCAGTGACTTGTATTTTCAAGCTTGGTGTTGTAAGATGCATTATCATGATTCTTCTGTTACCCTTTTTTTAAAGACAAAAAAAAAGAAAAAAAAGGAAAAAAAAAAAGAAAAAAGGAAAAAACAAAAACAAAACCGACCTATTTTGAGAGCTCCTGCGTTAACCAGAGTAATTTCTCTTCCCACTGTCCCCTGCAGTGTCATTGCTTGTTGACTTGCTGGTTTCCTTTTTTAGAGATACAAACTGAGTATGAGGTTTTTTTTGAAACTATTTAAGAGATTGAGGAGAAATGTTTACCTGAGCTGTATTCTGGTTTTTCTTAACCCCTCTCCCCATCTCAGCCCATGTTAGCGTTTACATTTGCAACCACAGCCCTTTCAGATGCAGTTTTCACCCATTCTGAAACCAGCAGGGTACACTTAGGGTTCTTAGTAGTTTTCTTAGCTGAAATCCCAGATGTTTTCCTTTTTTTTTCTTCAATATAATTTACCAGAGAGAATTAACTGATGCATTTTTGTGTTGTCTTCCCCTTCAGTAGTTATATTTTGTCTTTTCTGCACATCTGTCTACTAATAAAAAATGTGAAATGAAAATACCCCTGTACAGTCACATCGCTGTTACTCGAGCTTTACTGTTTGCATGGGTTAACTTAAAGCTTTGAGTCACCGCCACCACGCTCTGTGTTGGGCATCTCTATGCAGTGCATACAGGCACAGGTAAGGGGTGCAAGAACATCAGGCCTGCTGTGCAGTGTAAGCAGCAGAACAATGTCCCAAAACCAAAGCAAAAGGAGAGAGCAAGTTGAAGAATGAGTCTGGGCTCAGTGGGAAGCAGCAGTGGTGCAGGGCTGCTGCTGGCACTGCACACCGCAGCAGCGCAGGACAGGCTGGAGTGTTAAGCACCAGTGCAGAGCTGGAGCTGAATTCCCAGAGGTGCTGGTGCAGGAGCTGTGCCTGACCCATTCAGCAGAAGGTGGGACAGTAAATGCAGCACAAATTTGGGCACATGGGGTGCTGGGAGAGCTTTTTGCCCGTCATTGGTAACCAAGTGCAAACAGTGGAAACCAATGATGGCAAGCAAGTTGCTGCCAAAGTGATACCTCCTACTTATTTCCATGGAAACTACAACAGATACAGAGTGCACAGTAACACTATTTGATAGAGCAAGTTCTCAGCTACAAAACACAATACACAACTTCTCAACAATAGTCATCACTGTGAGCTCTGCATTTTTGCCAGAGATGAACAAGAGCCAGCAAGCTGCGCTTGTAAAAATCTGCACCAGCAGAGGTGACCGTTTGTCACTGCTGAATGCACCACCCACTGCCTTGCTGTGCGCACAGCCACCGTTTGGTCTCCATAAACATTCAGCAAACATCTTTGAAGGTCAGTGGGTGGTATTGTTTTTTCTATTAATCTAGACAGGCTGAGCAGTGCGCCAGGTGAACCTCCTGAGGTTCAACAAATCCGAGTGCGAGGTGTCGCACCCGGGTGGTGGCAACCCCCACTGCCGGTACGAGCCGGGGATGTAGGGACAGAGCACAGCCCTGCGGAAAGGACCTGGGGGTGCCGCTGGATGGCAGCGGGGCGTGAGCCAGCAGTGTGCCCTGCGGCCCAGACAGCCGGCCGGATCCTGGGCTGCATCCAAAGCAGCGCGGCCACACAAATGGTCAGGGATGGAGCAGCTCCCTGCGAGGACGGGCTGAGAGAGCTGGGGCTGTGCAGCCTGGAGAACGGAAGGCTGGGGGAGGCCTGAGGGTGGCCTGTCTGTATCTAAGTGGGGCTGTAAGAAAAATGGGGACAGGCTCTTAAGCAGCGTCTGCTGTGACAGGACAAGGAGAAATGGTTTCAAACTAAAAGAGGGGAGATTTGGACTGGATATAAGGAAGGTTTTTACAATCAGGGTGGTGAGGCACTGGTGCAGGTTGCTCAGAGAGGTGGTGGATGCCTGTTCCTGGAGACACTCAAGGTCAGGCTGGAGGGGCTCTGAGTTGTGGGTCTTCCTGCGCATTGCAGGGGAGTCAGACCATAAATTCTCTAATCTCCCATCTCAAACAATTCTGCACAGAGGAATAACAAAATAAAAGGTATTACTTTCAGAGGAGCTGCAGTAAGCAAGGCAACATGGTGACACAGCTAGAAGACCTCAGGACTGAGCATGCCTAAGGCCAGTGCCGGTGCAGCCTCCCCATTTATTTCATCCTTCTGAGCAACCACAGCTACCACAGCAGGGAAGTGCACAGAGCTCCGTGCCTGCTGCTTGGCCAGATAGAGCTGGACAGTGCCCGCTGCCAGCAGCAGTGCCAAGCTCCCTCTGCCTGCAGCAGCTCTGCCCCATGGGCACGAGGCCACACTCCCTCCTCACCCTCCCCACTGCAGGCACCAAAATGGGGCACAGTGAGGGCACCGTGGGCTGGTGTCAGGGTGCTGTGTCACAGCCCTGCTGCACCAACACAGCCTTCATTCAGCATCCACCACGTCCCTCCCTCAGCTTTACCAAGAGGGCTGAGAAAACACACACAGACAGCAGTGATATGATCAGAACTTTAATATGTGGAAGAAAGACTAAGAAAAAATGAAAACTCCTAAACCATCCACTGCACTGTGCAGGACCACAGCACCAGGAGGTGTCATCCTGGTCTTTGTTTAGAAGAAGTGGGGAGGGATAGTTGAAGGTCCGTCCAGCAGCTCTGGCGCTCCTGGGCAGGAGGCTCAGGGCAAAAAGAGGAAAGAAACAGGGTTCAGACTTTTATTTAAGGAACCGCTACATAGTTTCTGCCTCACATGATGCAAAGGAGGTTGCAGGACACACTGAGCCATCCGAAGTCTCTTGCTCAAGGAAAAAAAAGAAAAAAAGAAAGAAAAAAGATATTAAGAAAAAAAAAAAAGTCTTCTTTATTATTTATTTTTATTTAAAAATTGAAAAAGGAGTTGAGGGCAGAGCCCCCGGCTCAGCGGCACTTTGCTCACTGTGGTCACTGCAAGAGGGAGGAGGGAGACAAAAGAAAGGGGAAGGCCCACAAAACATCATCGTTTCTTTTTGTTGTTGTTGTTTGTTTTAAAGTAACAGCTATACGGGGGCCAACCAACAGGACATGCCTTGATTCTGTTTGAAGGAGCCAGGCCTCCTTACTTGCCCGAATTTAGAACTGCATTAATCAAATGGGCTGTCATCATCTCCACTAAGAAAGGTGCAGTTTTATTTTGGACAGAGATAAAAAGCCCACAGAGCTTAAAAAACAAGAAAGGATGCCCTGGTGCAGATGGGAAATGGATAATTAGTTTTCCTACAAAGAATAGAACAGGCTGCAAGATGCAGAAAACCACATTTAGGCTCTATTACATTTACAAATACATACATAAATATATTACATACAACAGCAACTCAAAGAGGAAGCGGGCGAGTCACACAGAGGATGATGGCTGCAGTTCTCCCCGCACAGACATTTGGCTGAGCAGTTACTTCTCCTAATAATTCCAGGAATGGGCTTCGGCTTTTCTTTCTTTTTTTTTCTTTTTCTTTATTTCATTTTTCTCCCTTCATTCTCTCCCCCCTCCCCGGTTTCGGATTTAGTTTGTCCAGTATGGAGAAGTGCCGTAGGCGGTTTTGGTAGCCTGAGACTTTTGCTGCATGGTGCTGGGCTGGTTGCGCTGGCTGGATCCTCCCTAGAAGCAGAAAGGAAGTGATACTGAGGCCATGGAGTGTACCCAGGAGAGGGGCGACAGAGCTCTGAGGGGTCTGGAGCACAAGTCTTATGGCGAGAGGCTGAGGGAACTGGGATTGCTCCGTCTAGAGAAGTGTCAGTGGAGACCTTATTGCTCTCTTCAAATCCTCGAAAGGAGATTGTGGTGAGATGGGGGTCGGCCTCTTCTCCCAGGTACCAGTGATAGGATGAGGGGGGATGGCCTCAGCTTGCACCAGGGGAAGTTCAGGTTGGATATCAGGAAACATTTATTTCCTGACAGTGTGGTAATGCATTGGCATGGAGGGTGGTGGTGTCACCATCCCTGGACGTGCTCAAGATTAATGAAGATGTGGCACTGATGACTGATGGGGAAGGGCAGGGGTTGGAGTAGATGATCTCCATGGTCCTTTCCAACCTCAGTGATTCTATAAAACAGCATCAGCCATGGGACCCTAGCACCCACAGGCTGCACCTCTCTACGTACAGGGCCACTGGAACAGCAGGGCTGCATAAGGTCCAAGAGCACTCTCCAGGCTAACGCTCCAGCCAGGGATGTCAGCATTCAGAGAGACCAGTCATTTCCTCTTTACAGACTCTAAAGCAGAATGCCTTTTTTTTTTTTTTCCCCAGGGAAAATTCATAGTGAGGAAACACTCTGGCTGATGAAACCAAACCAGAAACTGGAACGTGATGCAATCTGCAAGCAAATGCTTTGCTTTCTCCTTCACTTACAGTGCAAATGCTCACTTTCAGAGAACAGCAGCAGCTCACCCCCTGCACCCATATCATAATGGTCTCTTCTGAGCAGGACTCACCCCATAGCCCTCCCCAGTCCGTTTAATAGCACCAAGCCTGCAGTCTTGCTGGGGTACCTTCCCAATGGGCAAAGCAAAAACCAACTAACTCAGAATAAAGCGAAGATCCCATACCAAGAGGTGGGTGAGCACAACGTGCACTCTGTGAAGGGGCTGGCTCACCTGCCCATCCTGCTGAAGGTGGTGATGCAGCATCTGGGAGTGAGGCTGCTGATGCGCAGGCAGGATATGGAGAAAAGGAGCTGGAGCATAACCCGGGGCAGCACCAGGGTTCAGGGGCCCAGTAGATCCGAGAGCAGAAGGCAGGCTGAAAGGAGGCGGTGTGCCGGCGTGGAATCCCTGCTTGTCAAACGTCTGCAGAAACAGGCAAGATGGATATTGTCAGAAAGCAGCAGGAGCACACATAGACCAGACAACAAGAGAACAGATCCCTGTGCCTTTCCTACACCTCATGAGCAGGTCAGGCCAAACACCCACAAGCACTTCAGTAGATGAGTTTCAACCACTGTTCTCACTCCTATTTCTGCTCTAATGCCTATAACTTTAAAAAAATATATCTATACTTTATTGATTACAGTGTTGCTTTCCCTGACCTCTTTTCACTTAGTGGGACATAGGATTGCAGCAGCTGCCTGAAATCGGCTCTTCACATCCTGAGAGGGTACAGACTACTCAGGGCAGTCTATCAAAAGTGCAAGAAACTGCAATAACATTTTGCCTTCCTCAGGCCAGAGCTCTGCCCCAGATGCTACGCACATGTCATGGGGCTGGAGTCTGACCTGCAGTGGTGAAGCGCTGGCATTGCTGCCCAGAGCAGCTGCAGATGCTCCATCCCTGGAGGCGCTCAAGGCCGGGTTGGATGGGGTTCTGGGCAGCTTGAGCTGGTGCGGGCAATCAGCCCATGGCAGGGATTGGGTGCATTCTGAGGTTCCTTCCAAACCAAGCCATTCTGTGATTCTGTGATCACAGCCAAGCACATGGTGGGTCCCACTATCCTGGCAGGAAAACAGCTGAATGCCCCCACTGCATACCACAGCTCCTCCAGGCACCTTCTGTATGCACAGCAAGAGCCCCACAGGTGAGCAGAGTAGTGCTGGTACCCATGCAAGAGGCCCTCAGGCACAGCGTGGGCACTGCTGATTGATCTCTGGAGAAAAGCAAACATGCTCTTCACTCATCTGTTCTGGGGGCTTTCTTGACTAAAACCAGTGGTGCTACCATGTTCTACCAGCACCCAGGGAACAGAGTGTGAGGTTGCATGGGACAGGGCAGGGAGCTTTGTGTGTCAGAAGAGATGCCGCAGATGGGAGATACTCCTCTCCAGCAGCAAGCAGAGCCAGCCCAAGAAAAGCCAAAGCCCACTGCTACCGATCAGCCAGGGACATGCTCCTGGCTGCCAGCATCCTGCTGAGCCACCAGACTGGCCTTAGGCCACTGGGAGGAGGGTCCAGCATTCCTCACCTGAGTCTTGTTATAAACTGAGCCACTGATATCAGGCACACCTGTGTTACTTGAGGTCACAGAAACACCTGGAAAACAAAAAGCCACTGACAATGAGAAAGCTAAGCAGCAACCAGCCTGAATCTTGTGTGCTTGCTTTGTTGTTGGTGCTGAGGCACCCAAACCTGCAGCCTCTGCCCCACACACCTTCTACTCTGCACTCTGAAACCCACAGGAGTGAGAGGATGGGCACAGCCTCTGCTCCTGCTGCAAAGCAGGAAACCAGCCCACTGGGATAGGTCATCCTCTACTACAGCTGGGATTCAAATTCACCTCTAGCTGTGCTGAACACTCATTTAGCTCACAAAACACCAGCTCTCCCCTAGGATTAGGAATGCATTTGGCTCTATCACAGCATTCAGGAGCTTTCCAGTAATGCACTCAGCAGTGAGCCTCTGCATCTGCTACAGGCTTGTGCTCCTGTCCTCACACATCAAACTGAAGGGTGAGGTCTGCAACACTCTTTCTGCCCCTTCAAAATTAACATCACTGACTCAGGCTGCCTTCCACACAGATTAGCTGGTGCCACAGAACCAGAAACACTCTGTCACCAGCAAGTTGACTCAAATTGCCACTCATTTGTGGGCTTACAAAGACAGAATCCGATGGCTTCACTTGAATCAGTATAAAAGCAGTACTTTCTACAGCCAATGAACCAGAGGCCCTGACCCAGTGGGTTGGAGCTGCCCTATGCTGCACCATTCCTAAGAGACAGCTCATTTGCAGGCCACTGAGTAGAGCATCACTGGCTTTTAGTTGAAGACCTGCATACCAACCAGCTGGTGTTTCAGATGCACACAAATGCTTGGTATTTGCTTAAGCCCAAGGATGAACTCGTTAGTGCCAAGCAGTTCAGTATAAATTTCTCAGGTCTAACCAGCATGTGCAGAACAAAGCTGTGTACATTCCTTAGCCTTGGCAGTTACAGAGGAAACATTTCCAGGCATGAAACAATGCAATGAGTTACGGAGCATACGGACAGCAGCTGAAACAACAGCCCAGAGATGCGTGAGCTGCCCTGCTCACTGAACACACAGCTAACTCATGTGTCTACCAACAAACCCAAAATCCAAGTCAGCATTTGGCAGGTGACCATTTCAGCAGCAGCACCAGCTGCCTTGTCTTCAGCGACACAGCACTGCTGTGAGACCGCTTATTCTTCACCAAAGACAACTTTGGCAGGGAAAGCAGCTCACCACTTCTCCCACGTGTAACTGAGGACAAAGTGCACATCAGCCACACAGATCCTTATGCAAAGTTCAGGCATTAGGTTTAGAAGGAATTTGTGGGCCATTAGGAGAAGAAAGCATTTTGTATACGGGAGATGGAGAAACAGCTTGGATCTTGACCCTCTTAAAGGCTTGCCACTATGTTGACTGCACAGCACTGGCAATACTGGGAGCTTGCCCTACTAAATCCCACTCAAGAGTAACCTCAAGTCTCATGTGTTACCTTTCCCAGGTCCAGTGCCAGCAGATTTGTTTTGTGCTTGAGATGACCCACTGTAGCCTCCTTTGCTGTAATCTCCAGCTGCCGTTCCCTGCGTTAAGTCATCATAGCCTGCCGGTGTGTACAAGACAATGTGTTACAGTGTGCAAGCAGCTCTGCAGATGCTCCAGTGAAAAGCACAGTGATGAGCATACCTGCTCCATAGCCATGCTGCCCATAGCCACTTGCTTGCTGGAAAGGAGTCGAGGCGGTATTCAGGTTGACGCCGTGCTGCTTTGCTGATGGAGGTACCTGAACAAAAGAGGAAAGGAACAAAAGGCACTGTTAGCTGGGTGCTGAAAGTAAACTCCCTCTGCCACCTAGTGGGGAAGGCACCTCCAGCTCACACAGGAAAGGTAATTTGGAACTGGGAACACCACGATCACATGGGAAGTGGTGTTCACGCTGCCAGCAGTAGATTGCTGCAGTAGATCCCTGCAAGCCACAAGCTTCTTGCTATACTGCCCCTGGTCCTGCATCACATGGCTCTTCTTCATATTGCAGTGCAATCACATCTCAAAACAGGCTGCACATTTCTTTCATACGTGTCTTAAAACTAACCACAGGCAGCAAATTCTTATCCAGAAACCCAAAAAGAGCAACCAAAATGCTCTCCAGAATCAAACAACACACAAACCAGCTCCCACCTGAGGCTGTTTCATAAAACATAGTCCTACAGTGTCCTAAAATAAACTCAGCTACCATTCTGCCTGGAGCACAAGATCCTCCCAGATAACTTCCTCCCTCCTGAGACTACCAGTGCTGCTCCACAGTTTCATTGAAGCATCACTTCCTCTGAAAGATGTCCTAGGCACTCTCAGCATGCTTGACTCAGCTTTTGGTCTTTGTTTCTCTACAGACTGAGAGTTTTCAGGAACACTAAAAATCCATAAGCTGCAGCTACCTACTACTTACTGTAACCTGTGCATGACTTCTGGCTTTTCAAATTTCCTCTTCTCTTGGAGAAGGGACAGCAATTATTTTCTCAAGCTTGAACAAATCCCTTGCAGGATGGAGAGGGTTTTGCTGGGAGAATAAAACCAGAGAGGCAAAAAGGGAGAGTTACAGCCAAGGCTATGACACTTACAAACATGGTTGGCCCATACTGGAATGCACTGGGTACACCTGGAACCCCAGCGTAGTAAGGTAGCCCAGTGTAGCTGTAGCCTGGTGGCAGGGTTGGGTTGAGGAAGGGCTGCTGAGTGGTGTGATGAGTCTGCGTCTGGTTCTGCTGCGGCTGGGCTAGGGTTGTTGCAGGAGCAGGAGAGGCAGAATCCCCACGGCCAAATTTTGTAACATCACCTGCTAAAGAAAGAACTGATCAGAAGAATGATCAGAGCTTTTGCACGAGGAACTTCCTTGTACAAGTAAACAAACAAACAACAAAAAAAGCACATCCTATACTTGAAAGGCTATGGGTTTCCATGGGAAGAGCTCTCCTGTTCTCTAATTCCTGACAGTGCAGGTATGTCACCCGTTTGTGGCACAGAACTCTGTGTTGTGACTAATTCATCAGTAAAATGTAGACACTAATACCTACCTATTTCACACACACTGAGTAGATTCATTACTATCATTGCAACAAAATATGCTAAAAGCAGAAATATGGTAAAAAGCCAAAGTGCAAATGGTTGTTGGGTTAAAGTGTGACTCTCCTGGAGGTTAAACTGATTAGCCAAGCTTCATGGGCTGAGAGCAAGTTAGGATTTACAGGCAGTGATGGGCATATTTTTGTCAACATCTATTTATTTATGAAGCATGACTAGTTAGATATCTGGTTCCTCACACCACCAAAGTTCTGGAGACAGTAGCTGAAGGCCAGGAAAGCAAGGCTTGCATCGTGGACCACCTTATTGAAGAAGTAGGAAGGGAAATTTGGTTATTAACCCAAAATCAACCTCCCAAGAGAAGTGATTATGATGCAGAAAATTTCAAAAAAATATTTCTATTTTCTGACAGCACTCAGAACAGCCTGTTTATGTGTTTGGTTTTGTAACACATCTGCCTCACATCTATCTCCTCCTGACCAGTATTCCCTTTCATTGGTTGCCAAGAAGCACGACAAGATTGAATGCCCACATATTAGAAATTATAATTCATATGGCTACAGCTTTAAGCTGTAATCAGATGGCAGCAGAAGAAATCCACTTGCTAAACATGCTGCAATGTAATTTCTGCACACTGACAAATGAAGAACAGAAAGTGAGGAAGGAATTCTTAGACCACTGTTGAGAATGAAATTCATTAGACTAGGAAGAGGGCAGGGGAACAACTGCAATAGACAGCTCCTGGTGGGAATACTGAAGTTATAAAGTAGAAAAAGTAGGAATAGAGAGCTGCTGAGAGGGTTCTGAAAGAGTCTATTCCACCGCCAAAAGAGGAAAGCAAAACAGCGGAATTTCAAGAAAACATATTAAACTATCAGGTATTTTCCAAGCACTTGTATGTGCACGGGAAGGGCACTAGATGACATTGCCGTTTACATTTTTAACAATCTTGCACTTGCTTTCAAATACTACCCAACTTTATTCCAGAAGAGGCCCCGTATGAATTACCGATCAGAACTACGCAGAAAAATCCACATCACAATTGTGAGTGAGAAGCTTGCTTTTATTTGCCTACTTTACTTGGGTGAGTATAATTGCCTACAGAAGGGAAAAACTGCTCTTTCAGCAACAGTAGGATGACCTGAATTCAAACACCAGCACATCTCACTTATCTCTGTCTTTTAACAGCACTCACCTGAGTATGGGTTGTTAGCAAGGCTCCCATCTCTGCTTGTCAAGGTTGCAGGAGCAGGGAATGTAATTCCATAGTAATCCTTAAAAAGATGCAACATCATTTATAATAGTTGAAACCATAAAAGATCTGAATAGTTCTTACAAATCCTGTCTTCCAAACATAACAATTTAAAAGCAAGAAGAGAAACTATAAGGTCAGCTTCTGCTCAAATTAACAACAGAGCTAAAGATTTACCTGGATTCTTGATTTCAAACTAAACTTACTTTAATGGACACTCAGTATCACCTACAAACACGTCATCACTTAATGGTAATTTTACAAGGCTGGATAAAGCTTCTGCCTTTAACCTGCTAAAGCATCTAGGAGGAAGGAAGTTCAGGCCTGAGACGCAAGAAGAGCTGTTATTTTTATTTTCCCTTAAACACACAAAATGAGTCTAAGAGGTGGCTGCTGACAAGTTCATAGAGTTAATAAAAGCTTCTCAACACCTCCTGCCAGCAGAAAAGCCTTAGAGGTTCTGCCTGTAAAGGTACAGAGGAGCAACACTTCTCACTGAGTATTCGTCTGTGCTCAAAGGCAACAACCAAAGCTCTTCCCTCCCAACCTGCAGCTCAGAGCTGACACCTTCCAACAGGACTGAGTCTGGAAGAGCAACAGGCCATGCAGGGTGCCAAAGACTTGAGGTCATGCCAGAACCATAACTGCAATGTGGATGCGGTCTAATAGTCTTGTACCATGTCCTATTCTCTAAAAGTAAAAACATTACCTAGATTAAGAGTACAGATGAATAAGAAAACTGCAGCAAACAGAGCTGACTGAAAAAAGTATTTAAACTATATGTTACAGCAGACTTTGGAGAGGTTTCCAAAGTGGAGTGCCCAAGACAATACCCTGCTGTGTACATGCTTTCAGTATCTAAAGGGGGTCTGCAGAAAGAAGGGGACAGACTCTTTAGCAGTGTCTATTGTGACAGGACAATGGGAAACTAAAAGAGAGGAGATTTAGACTGGATATAAAAAAAACATTTTTTAAGATAAGGGCAGGGAAGCACTGGAGCAGGTAGTCCAAAGATTTGGTGGAGGCCCCACCCCTAGAGACAGTCAAGGTCAGGCTGGACCAGCTCTGAGTACCCACCTAGCTGTAGGTGTCCCTGTTCACTGCAGGGGAGTTGGACCAGACCTTTAAAAGTTACTTCCAACTCAACTGTTCTTCAATTCACTGCAACGCTCATAGACTCTATGATGAGACATTCATTGGTACCAAAATTAAAATTAGTAACAATTAAGGGGATGGGTGCTCAGATTTTTTACTGATTTTCAACTAATAGTGTCCATGATGAAAAATGCTGAAATACAGAGATCATGCCTTAAATCATTCTTCTAGGTCTCATACAGAAAGTTAGGACAGCCTTTACCCTGGCAGGCCTGCACTCCAAGATGACAGGGCACACTAAGAAAAGCAAAGCAGCATTTTGTTTTCACTTTGAGTGGAGAGTTTCCCTTTCCCAATCTGGGTGAGCTGTGGGGTAGCACACTATGTAGTGTTTTTTCTTCTAAGTCATTCACTTGTTCCTCACCATTTCTGATGGACACTGAGCATGTTTTAACCACTCTTGTACCCATTTCTACACATTCTCCAACACTGGAAAAGCATCTTTTTTCACAGTTATCTCAGCAAATTCCCTGACAACTCAAATGCTTTCTCACATTCAACTTTACCATCCACACTGCTACACTTGTGTGTCACTGCCCCATTTCTTACACACAGTCCTCCACCACTGAACGTGAAATAACTTGGCAAAGATTCAGTATTGCAGGCTCCTTTCTGTAACTTGAAACCATCTCATATTTCATCATCCTATGATCCTCTCCATTCCAAATAATTCTCATCTCATCAACTCCAGCATCATACACTTAACAAAACACAAGCAGATTCCTATTACAGATCTTAAAGGTTTAGTTGTGTTTCCTGACATGAAAATGCCAGAATATAATGAAGAAAGTTCCGCAAGTATGAACTGGAACAGAACCACAAGCATTTTTGCCTATACAGGTTGCACAAAGTATAATGAAATTCACCTGAGAATAGAGTCTAAGAGTTTCAATTATTCCCACTGCCCCACTGGTGGGGGAAAAGCTTTAGCCCCCAGGAGTTCCACAAATCTCTACCTCAGCCACTTATGCATACACACATCTAAAATAGAACTGATAGGAAAAGCACAAGACAGTGAACCATCACAGAATGGCTTAGGCTAAAGGGGACCTTAAAAATCACCTGTTTCCACCCTGCTGCCACAGGCTGGTTGCCCCCCACCAGCTTAGACTGCCCAGAGCCCCATCTAGCCCAGCCTTAAGTGCCTCCAGGGATGGGGTACCACAGCTCTCTGGGCAGCAGTGTCAGGGCCTCATAGCCCTATGAGTAAAACATTTCTTAATAACATCCAACCGAAATCTCATCTCATTTAGTTTAAAGCCATTCTCCCTTGTTCTACTGCTATCAGACCATGTAAAATGTTGGTCCCCCTCCTGCCTGAAGTCCCCATCAAGTACTGGAATGCCTCAGTAAGGCTTCCCTGGAGCCTTCTCCAGGCTGAACGAGCCCAGCTCCCTCAGCCTGTCTTCACAGAAGAGGTGATACTCCAACCCTCTGCCCATCTTCATGGCCCTCCTTTGGACCTGCTCCAACAGCTCCCAGCTCCCTCCTGTGCTGGGAGCCCCAGGCCAGGACACAGTACTGCAGATGGGGCCTTACAAGGGCAGAGCAGAGGGGACAGTCACCTCCCTCCCTCTGCTGCCATCCCTTGTTGATGCAG